AAAAAAAAAAAACGCCGCGCAACCGAACAGGCCCTTACGCTGGGTTGTTAGTTTCGGAAGGATTAGAGAAGCTCGCTGATGATGACAAGGATAGTGTCTGTATTGGCATAACTGCTATTCCTGGCTCTATCTACGCGTTCCAGGCAAATTACTCCTTTTTTGGATTATCTTTTTCCAGGGAGCATTGAAAGACTGTCACAGCGAGTGACTTGGCAATCCATTTTTTCTTACAGCTGTAGTAGGAAAGCCTGGATTTTGAGGATACCGTATCTTCGACAAAGCCATGTCTATTGTACTTGGTTCCCTAGGCATAGATACGACCCAAATTTCAAGTCCGCCATCGAGTTGCTTTCATCCCAACTCAAGCATTGCTTGAATCGTCTCGTTGGTGTAGTTGGTTATCACGTGGGTCTCATATCATCACATATGACTGCTCGATTGTAGCAGATATCCCAAGGCCGCCAGTTCGAGTCTGGCACGGGACAGTTGTTTGTTTTTGCATGTGTTACTTGCTTTAATCGTGTGTTGTGTGGCGGTGGGTCTCTTTTTTTGGTGGGTGTGCGTGGATGGCAGATGACAAGGAACGTGATGTGGTGGGAGGGGGTCAGCACATCACGAACATGATGGCTGGAATGGCACGCAGCCGGATTTCAGTTTAGGTTAACTATGCTTAGTTGGAATACTATTTTAGATTTGTAAATACATCCAATGCGCATTTTAGTTCATCGTGGGAAGTGATCAGTCACTATCTCTCAGGAATCCTCTATGCATATCGATTCCACCTTGCAGGACACAGCACAGGAAACAGCAGTAACAGATGACTGAACATGAGAGTAACCAGCTATCCAAAACACTTCACATTTGGCCAAGTTGAATAGATGATGGTACGACAACTTTCGCTTCTTTCATTATAATATTAACGTTTCCCAACAACATACGTCAATGGGTGCAGCGGGAGAGGGAGAGATAGCCAAACACGCAGCAAACATCAGCCAGCCAACCACAGGCCCAGACCATGCACACCTCCCCAGCAACTACACTACCGCTGCTCCTTCCGCTCACTTCAGCTGAGCCATATACAACCCACACACACACACACAAGTGGCAAGACAGAACCAACGGAGAGAAAGACACAACCGCTCCCCCCTTATATCATTCCGTCTTGCCATACTACGCCAATGCGAAAAAAAAACAAGCAAAACAAACAGACAAACAAGGTATCAACGGAATCAGAAGATCTGATGATGGAGGCCAGCAACCAACCGAGGGGTGGGTGGGGAGGAGACAGATTTGGTTGGACACAGACCAATACAAACAAGGAGAATATTGACAAAACAGTATGAAAGGAGTGTAAAGAAGGAAAAGAGGTTGGTGTTTTATATACACTAGATCCCTCGGGATCAAGAGGGTACATTGACAGGTGGATGGATGGATGGATGGATGATGATGGTGATGACGGCGGGGATGGCGAGGAAGTGGTTGACGCGCTTAGGGTGGGGAGGTTTGGCGTCGGGTATCTGTAGCGACTGAATGCGGAAAGCACAAGGCCTCCTTTCATGTGGTTGGGTTGAATAATATTTTGTGCCTCCTGAAAAAAATGAAAGAGACGCCCGGCGCTGAGAATGCTACGATGCTCAAGAAAGGAAAATCTGACTGCTGCGTACAGAGACGAGGACGAGATTGGGTTCGCTAAAGACGCTGATTTCCAAGACGAAAGGGAACGAATCATGTCCACAGAGACGAAGGATGGATGGCGTGGAGGATGGGCTCATTATCGACGTGAGGGTACACAGACCAAACGACAGTGAGAAGTTTATCGACTTTGGCCGAGATTTAGCCAAGACATGTCAGGTTGCTCCTTTTTCCCTTCACCCACGGTGTGCGCAGGACCGGGGAACATGGTAACTGTGCTCTCGTGTCCGGCTCGCGGTGTCGCAAAGAATGAGGTGAACTTGGGGCTGGGCAGCGCTGTGTCTTGGTGCGCTGCGGCACCACCTGGGCCACCTGGAAAGAGCGTGGCGACGCTTTCGCGCTCATGAGGAAGACCAAGTTGCGGGTTTGCGGGATACATGGAGCTGAACTTGCTCTGTGGCACTTGCTCCGTCGGTACAGGAGGGGCAGCACCAGACGGGAAAGTCGTTGCTGTGCTGTCGCGGATATCAGGAATCATCGGGGTATTTCCCTGACCAGGGTAGAAAGAACTAAAGTTGCTCTTGGGGTAGAACGAGTCAGTTCCGTCGGGATAGTATGAGCTGGTACCATCGAATTTTCCATGGTCAATCGCCACACTGTCGGTGTAGTTGCTGCTGGTCCGTCGGCCATTGCCCATTGGAGTCCAATTGTCTACAGGCTGGTGAGCGTCATGGTGGCTGAAAGCGGATATCGAGCTAGCATTAGAGTTGGCACGTGCAAGTTCTGCTTGCATAGGCTGCATCTGATGAGGCAGGATGGATGTGGGTGTGCCAAGTGTTGGGCTTCCGCTAGCTACACTGCTCAGACGCTGTCCGTCACTAAACTTGGGTATCTCCAATGGTGCAATGTGTTGGGATGGGCGCAAGCTGGGCATGTTGGAGCTTGTGTACTGTGACTGGCTGGCCGTGCTTGTCCTATCTGACGCAAATGTGGACCTATCAGCAGGAGGAGCACTGGCGAGATTCGTAGCTTCATTGTTCGCAAAGTAACGGCTCCAACCTGAGCTGCGAGCTCGTGGTGCAGGCTGGGCTGTTCGGCTCGAGTTTTGCCGAACCATGGGTTGGACAGGTTCTGGCTTCAAGTCAAACTTGGCGAGCTCGTAAGGCTCAGAGTATTGCTCAGAGTAACCAAGAGGGCTGGTCTTCTTGACAAGACCAGCTGTGCTAGCATCGCTTGCCATGTTCTTCTTGTGACCACCACCTCGACCTTGAATGATTGCGAGTGATGTTGTAGACTCGTTGTTCCTTGGGTAACTTGCTACAGAACCACCGGCTTCCTTCATGAAGGCAGCTCCTCGATCAGCAAAACTCATGCGGTCGTTCTTTTCGACATAAGCGTTCTTCTTGCTCTTGTTCTTCTTGTACTTGAGACAGAACAGAATCAAGATGAGGATCAACGCAATGCCGAAAATGGTTCCGAGTGTGGCACCGAGCACGGTCAACATACGTCCCTTGTTGTCAGGAGGTCCTGGAGGTGACGCGGCAGCTCCTGTGCTGGTGGGGCTGGCAGATGCAGACGCAGACGCAGACGCAGACGCAGATGCGGATGCCGTTGCAGTTGCGGTTGTTGACACGCTTGAAGAGGAAACAGAGTTTGCGAGCACCTGTTGCCCCCCAAATACCGCTGACGCATTCATCCAAGAGTTTTGCTCGGCATTGAAGAGAGCGATCGGTTCCTGATCATTACCTCCGCTTGCGACAACAGTACCATCATTCCCTTGCGCCAATGAGTAACCTGATCGTGTCGTCGTAGGTGCGAGTGTTTCGTTATACTGCGACCAGTCGTTCAAGGTCACACGTTTCGTCTTGCCTCCCGTCTTGCCTCCAACTAGAGTTCCTGGGGCCGCGGGCGATCCGTCCTGGTTCAATAGTAATATTCGTTCAACGGTGTTTGGGGAAACGCTCATGTCGAACTTCTGCAGGGCGACTGCACCTTCCTTATTGGAGATTATGGAGCATTGGACAGCGTCTTCGTTGGCGATGGGCTGCTGCAAAGCGACACCAAGATTTTGCCATCCAGATGATTCCGTAAACTTCCAGACGGCTGTATTCGATGCACTGCCACCCACCAGCAAAGCGGTGTTCGCATTCGACTCCATCAACATGGGATTCACAGTGAGCGGCGCACCAGCCGATGGCAGGCCGACGACAGCGTAGGGAGCAACAGTAGAAATCAGAAATGTTTCAGCTGACGGGCCACCGCCGTCGGCCTGAGATCCAGAGTATACGAGAATATTTTGTGAGTCCTGGAGGTATGCGGCGCCATGGTTGATCCGTTCCTGAGTGTTCCAGCTCTCTGAGCGTTGCCAGTCCCACTTCTTCGTAGAAAATGTGTAGTGCATCAAGCCAGGGTAGTTCCAAGTTGAGGCTGTCGCATTGACTCTTCCTCCAACAATGAACAGCTTGGCGTCCTTGGTGTTGCCCTTGGGTACTGCCTTGACACATCGTCCTCCTGTAAGCGATACATCCATGGGCAGGGCCTGCCATTTAGCTCCTTCTTCAAGTTTTAGAGATTGGAATCCGGCTGGCGAGTATACGTAAAGCGTCTCTTCGTAGATGATTGAACAGTGCTCCTTGAGCGGGTAGATTGGTTTTGGTGTGCCCATGATGGTGTGGATCACGGGAGATCGGGGATGAAAGCGAACGGAGCGAGCGTTTAGTGTCGACTCGGGACGGAAAAAGCAATAAATAAACCAATTATGTCTCCACCCGACTTCTCATAGCGATGCGTTCGAGTCACGGTTGATTAGGTGTCCAGAAGTGGCCAGGGGGTTTCGTTCGATTGAGCGACACGACGTGTATTTGACGACTGAGGGAGTGATGTGATGTTAGTCTGCGTCGGGAATCGCAAGGGCAATCGACTGCATGAAATACAACATCAGTATGACTGAGTAGAGAGCGCGACCAATGGGGACGTACTCGAAGAATCTGCGACAAAAAAGCCGTGAGCAAGTGCGAGGGCGAGGTGGAAGTGGATGGTAGGAGGGCAACGGTTTGTTTCGACGAATACGCGGAGAGCGACGGGGTAGCGCTCTCTCAAAGAGGCGTCGACGTATGCGAAGGGTAGAGCGAAAGGAGAGGCAGCACAGCTCAGCGGTGTGCAAGTGTCGAAGGAGAGGATGGGGGAGGCCGTGCAGGTGAGGCTGTTCAGGCACACAGCAGCTGAAGCTGGAGAGAGAGACAGGTGAGCCCGAGCCTGGGCTGAGCGAGGGGGAGAAGACCAACCGGCCGCTGCGAAGGGTCCGTCCACCCTTCACGGTTGTGCAAGGGCATGATTCGGAGTGGGCCTAGGCATGATGCCAAAGGGCCTGAGCGGCGACGGCACGAGTGAGGACACAGCATGCAATAGGGCCTGTCAGGGGCACTTTGCGAGACAGGCCAATCATGTCCAGCACCTGTCGTCCATGTTCGCCAACGCCCCTGGCCTTGACCAAGTATATTTAGCGTTCTTTTTAGCCAAGCGACATGCCTGCAGCGAAGAAACAGGCCAGTGTCGGAACCTTTCCAGGGCATCTGCTGGACCTGCAGCGCAGGCTCTGCTCTGGGTAGGTGAGCGGCGAGGAGCGTTGCGGGGTTGGCGGCGAGCAGGCCCTTTTTTGGCCTACATATGTAGACGGCGTGCTCCCACATAAGCCGGTAATTCCTCGTGACAACAGGCTCCGACAGTCAGCAGCGGGCGAGAGGGCAACCGGCGAGCTTCACATGGCGGTTGTTTGTGGTGCGCACTGCAGCCAACCCTCCGCGCGTTCCCCCCGCCGTAGCACAACGGGACGAGGAATAAGGACTCTGATCATTTCCGCTCCTTTGAGCACGTCACGAATCAAGCCAGGCCGCTTCCATGCTTGCGTGTTCCTTCCGTGGATAAGAAGGGACGGGCGCCGTATCCAACGGTCTGTGTCTGGTGGCAGGCAGGTGGGTGGCAGAGCTCGTATGTATGCCTAAAGATACATACATGCTACATGCGGCCGTATATGCACATGCACGGTAGCCCCTATCGATAGTTCGTGTCCAGACGAGGGGCGTGAACACGGCGAATAGCTCGCGGACGGCTGGTCATATCTTTGTGCTGCTTCTCCCGTGTGGCTGTGGGGGTATTTGCGCACGGCGAGGCGTGGTCCTTGGGCAGCCAAGGCTTCCCATCACACTCCCCGATGGCACCCTGGGGGGCACGGGCGCAAAGGTCGCTGTCACTGTCCGGCGTACGTACACAGCAAGGAGGCAGGCAAATAGCGCGACGGCGATGGAGAAGCCCAAGAGGCGCGCGCGTTGCTGTGGGCGGTTTGGTGTTTCCGCAATTTGGTGACAGGTGGAGCAGCAGCAGCAGCACAAAGGGCTCCCACGCACACTGACGTCTGAAACGGAAGCCTCGGTGGCCATGCTGATTGGCGTGCCAGGTCCGGCCACCTGACTCAGCCGCTAGCCACGCGCTGTTCCTTAGCGACACTGTGACGCCCGAATGCACTAACCAGCCGTTTCTCTGTTCGACAAACAACACCATGGTCTGCCATTGACGATGAGATCATGACAGCATTGGGCTACCACAGAAGCGCCCTCGCCGTACCACACACTCGACGCCCCTGCTGATGATGACGCTGGCTGCACACCACCCTTTCCCCTTGACCGACTCGTCGGTACACTACCCCGCAAGCAGTGTCCTAGCTCCGACTGCGACTATGGGAGCCGCGTCCCGGACAGCGCTCCCAATGCTTGCGGTTGGCCCGTCATCAATCTCCTACGCCTTGCACACGATACTCGTCTGCACTCCTGCACTGTCGGCTAAACACGTCCCGGCCGACTAGCGACGATGCACCACCCAAGCCCTCTTCTGAATGGTGGCAAGAGCTGACTCAGATTTATTGCCTCTCTTCCCACGACAATCCATACAGTGCTGCAAACACAGCCCTCCTCTACACTACATACGAGCTTTGGACACGATGGTCGCGTACAATGCTTCGTGTTCTGCTCTCCATGCGCCCACTCACCCTCATTCGAGTAACCGGCTTGTCCCGGCCCACGCTTTGCTTTGCATAAACTCACATCCCGCCTTCCTACTTGGCATGGCAATCCCGCTGCCGTAGCCCGCAAAACGCGGGTCTGCTCTCCACTCGACCTCATGTGGTTTGTCGTGCCATTCTATATACTCGGAGGGGCAAACAAGTGGGACCAAATATGTCTTTATTGACCAACAGTGAGATGCTCAGCTGAGATATTCGAAACACCGCCATCTGGTCAGCACTTTGCATCCATCGGGCCCGAATCATCGGGTCTCACGGAAAACAACTCTTGGACATTGACTCCCGTGGGGGGACAAGCGACCTCAGAGCGTTAGCCAAGATGGTGTCAACGGTCAACTCGCATTTGTTTTATCCCGACAACGTTGGTGTTAGATATAATAAAAGCAAGAACCGATCCTCTCAACAACCCCCTTCAGATCCCCTTGACCGTTGCACTGGTCTGTCGGAACTCTCCGTGCAGTTCATGCGCATCGTTTCGATCACGATTCCACGTCTTCGTTAGTTAAGAAGCAAATATCCATGTCCTAGGTTCAGCACAGACCGATTTTACACGATGTACTGTTGACTGCACCTTCTGGATCTTCTCCATGTTTAATATTCAAAGTTGGTGGTATGAAGTCGCTTTACTACTTGCGTCCCCTATATCCTTACGGAGTACGTACAGGGCGATCTTCCTTGAACCAATAACATCAACAGTGCAGGCCCTCGAAGCTGAAACGACGCAAGACAGTGCACACACAATTGCGTCAGCCGCTGATGTATCAAAGCAACATGCTAGACACAAGAGTTACGTCTGTCAGTCTCCTGAAACTTTTACATCGGGCTTTAGAGGGCTTTATTTCCTCCAGTCATGATGCTCGCCATAGTGATAGACGGAAGATCACCATACAATCTCTACTTGTGTCATGACTCCAATGACGCGTCACTAAGATCAGCCAATCGCGATGGCATATCAAACCTTACAGTGCTGGCAAAGTTTTTATTGAAACCAAAACTTTGGTATAGCTGAAAAGCGTACTGAATGCACCCCTGGGTATAGTGAAGTGTCGCATACGTAGGATATGCCAGCTGCCACCTGTATTATACTAATCAGGCACTGAGCACATTACAACTAAAGTGCAACAATCAGTATGATCCTGATCACTATCACACAAAAACACTCAAACCCTATATCCTAAAAACTAAAAGAAAGTAACAGGAAAACCATTTTGATATTTGCAAATACATTCAAGCCAAACATGCCAGTTCTAAATCACCATACCAAGAAGTTGGTTCCTTCTCCCTTCCCCATCCCTCCATACCAACTATCTCCACCGAACCACTCTTTTTCCCACCACATGTACAATTTGCCTCCGCATTAACTCCCCTTCCCTCTCCCAAAAAAACACTCGCTCCATCTTACATCCCACCTTCACCATTCTACCTGAATCAACGCCAATCCCCACACATTATCATCCTTTCGTCCAGTCTAAGTAACCCCTCATCGCCCATTTTTCCTCTTATCGTCTTTCTTTAATCTATACCCGCTTCGTATTCGTCATTACCCTTCCGTGCATACACACGAGCCATCCTTTTTAGAACAAGGTAGCCTGTGTTCAGATCGCCCTTTCTTTCCCTCCCCAGTAATAGTTATAATTAAGAATGTTTTTTTTCCGTTGTGTTGTTGTTGTTCTTTATCAGACGCTTCGAAACACGAATACGAGAAAGACACAGACCGTGGGGCGGTGGCGGGATGCAGTCTTTTCTGCTTGACGTGTCTCTTAGGGATTATGTATTTAGGTTCGCGCACGGAAGTATTTGAAACATTGATGCTCTTTTTGCTTCCATGGGTTGCCGGTTTGATGTTGATGAGAAGCAAGGTTGGTTGTGAACTCTTGGGGTTAGACTTGGACTTGGGAGATCGTTTTAATTGACCCGGCCCGGAATACGAGTACACGCAAGCTTCTGTAGTTACATGTAAAATAAATGTCATGGCATTAGCTATCAAAGATTGTGACGAAGGTACGCCATCAATATCAAGAGGCCTTTAAGATGAAAACCAAGGAACGTACTATCGCTTCTTCTAGCAGATCGTTCTCACTATGAAAAAAAAAACAGCATACTCAGACCACAGAAATTTTTGACAATCATAGGGCCAAATACTACAGGTTGTGCAGCGGACAATACTCACACTTCATTCACAGGAATGCGACAGACATCAGTATCATCTCAATGCTTGTACATAAGAAATAGCACTTCGTGATAAAATGTGTCTCACCATCAAATCATCTTCTTCATCGTAAAACTCAAAGACGGTCTGCAGGCAAGCAGTGACTATTGTCACCTGGCATTATTCTCCGCTAGTCGTATAGCTCACGGCAACCATTAGGTAAGGTCGATGAGTAGATATTCTAGCGTGGATGGGAAAAAACAATCTTCACATGCCTTTGTCTCACGGTGACGGCTGGAGTAACAAATGTCATTCGTTGCCAAACTCCAAATCCATCGTGGTATCATTTCGAACAGGAATCTTCGACGGGGCCGCATGGCGGCAAGTCCATTGTTGGAGCTAGTAGCCGGTAAAACGCCCTGCTTTTCCATGCGCACATCGCATGCCCAGACCGTGAACCCATGATATGCATTTCATCCACTCGGAGGCGGTGGGACAGCCCATGCCCATGTGCCTCGAAGCCGTGGTGTGTCGTCAAACAAAGAAACAAAAAGCGAGACGCTTAAGCCTCCCTCTGCTTCTTCTTCTCCTCGCGACCGGCGCTCTTGCGCTCCAGGATAGTCTCGCGGTCCTTGTCGAGCTTGAGCTTGGTGATGACGACCTTGGAGGGAGCGATGGGGATGGGGACCGACTGGCCGTTGCTCTTCTCGCGGACGACTGTGTAAAAACTTAGTAAGAATATGTCGGCTGGAGAAAATCGGGGACTACGCACTGCCGTTGACGTGGATGCAGTACTTGAGGCGGTAGACGGAGGAGACTTTGCCCTCACGTCCCTTGTTGGAACCGCGGACAACAGTGATCTCGTCCTTGGAAAAGTCAGCACACTACCAAAGTCGGTGAAAAAACAGGTATACTCACATCCTTGCGGATGGGAATGCTGCGCACTCCGTGCTTCTCGCGGAGCTCCTTACTCAAAGGCGCCTGAAGGTTGTTAGAACATGTCCACTGCAATGTTCCAAGTCTCTTCATACGCTCATGATGACCCGACGCACACTACTCGGCGCACTGAAGTGTGCCTTTCGCGATTTGCGGCGAGAGCTCGCGACCATTGACTGGACCTTGGTCATTTTTGCTGTGGGATGGGCGGGTTGTCGGGTTAGTAGACAAAGTTCGTGTCGCACCTCGAAAATTAGGGTGGTGAGAATGTGCAGAAGCCAGACCAGCTTCGCTTCGCTAGCGTCGGCAAAACAGTTCTTCCGATGCGCTGCAGCCACCCCGGTCCGCGCAAGTTGGCAACGCGTGAGGCGCAGGTTGGCCGTCTTGGGCGCGGCGTCACCTGCTACGCGTCGCAGTCTATCTGCCCCTCGATCCAGCGCATTCATCGCGCGTCAAGACCGGCATATAGTGTGGAGCATTTATACCATCCGCTACCTGCACTCAAGCGACGCCTGCGACATCTGTCGCCACAAAGGCTTCTTGGAAACTCTAGTGTGGCTAGAGAGTGATCCGCAACTCCTCGGTCAATAATAGCAATGTCGACGAATGGCTACAACCTATACAACCGCCCCCACCAACAATCCTCCGCCCAGCAATATGCATCATGTCAGACTGCGCCCGCTTCGAACAACATCACTGAATCTGCCCGCCAGTACCAGCAGCCACCACCGCCGCCGCAAGCCCACCAATACATGCCCTACCTAACACAGTCATATACAACCCAGAACAGTGGATCTGGAGCCACATGGAACAACGGCACATATGGCGCAACTCACGAGAAAAGAAGCCGGGCTGCCGAGGTTCTACACAGTAACCCCTCGTATACACCCAGCACCACATCTGGGACCACTCAACCCACCTTCACCACCAACACTACCACGTCGTCGCATCCCGCTCACTATGCCAGTTCCAATGCCCCGCAAGCCCTAGCGCAGCAGAGCCATTGTGTTCATGGACAATCGCAAGCGCATCTGCAGAGCGTTAACAATAACCGCGCTCTACCGTCTCTACTCACAGCATCAATGAGCCATCTGCACGCAACGCAGTCAATGCATAACCAGCAACAGCAGCAGCGCTCTGCCAGCCCGGCCCAGCCTCAATACACTAACTTGCAAGCCAACAATGCGCGGACTGCAACCATGATGGCTACAGAAAATCAGCAGTACGGCAGTTACGGTAACCAACAGATTGCTAGCGCCGAGTCCTCGCGTGGCTCACAAAATCACACACCGTCATACGTCAGTAATTACGACACTACGCCAGTGCCTCCAGCTGCATCTTCTGCACCCACTGTCAGCATGCCAGATACATATCATACACAGGGTACTACTACCGTAGACCCACTAGCAGTGTACGACCCATGGCCGGAATATCAGCGAAAACAGGCAGCAAGAAAGGCGATTGAGGACGCGGCACGCGCTGAAGAGGAAAGGGTTGCAGCGGAGACGCGCAAAATAGAAGAGGAATGCAGACGAGAAGAAGAGAGAGAAAGCTTGCCACAGCCACAGCCAAAGTCTAATGCGAGCCAGAGTCAAAAGGATCAGCAGCCAAACATAGCCGAGGTGGCTGCTGCACCTCCAGCTGACGAAAATGGTTCCAGTGATGCGTTGGAAGCCGAGATTCGTGCAATGATGGCGAAAATGCGTGAACTCAACGGCAAAGACCCAAGTCTCCTTGCGCGCATCTGGGAAGAGGAACGTAGAGCAAAACCAAAATCACAGGCGGTACAAAGCAAGCCTACGCCTCCAACTGCAGCAGCACAGTCTACACAACCTGCTCATGCTAGTACTCCGCGGCCTGCAAACTTGAGGGAGAACATCTCACATAGCGAAGCGGCGAACACAAATGGATCTAAGCCGGCGACTTCTGTGGTTGCTCATGCTGAACCAGTCAGGCGAACCCAGACGCTGGCCAGTCGACCCGTCGGCAACACGGTCTGGCCAGCAGAGAAGAAGGCACATCTAGCAAAAGCAGCTGCAGCATACATCGATAGCCAAAACACGTTTCGCAAGATCCAACCTTCTCGTATAATATCTCTGCTCAATGACAACCCTTCTTATATCCAGCTGTGTGAGCAGCTTGAGCAGATGGGTTTTAAACTAGATCGCGCAGCCTTTGCTAAATGCTTGCTCACAGCTGTGCCAGACCTAAACTCAAAACCACGTCAATCTTTGCCTCAGCTACCAGCTCCTGTGCAGACACCGCCTGTCCCACCTGCCGTAATGAAGAAGGACATTTCAGCTTCCGTCGCACCTAGTCCACAAGACACGCCAGCTTCAGGCCCATCGACTTCAGGTCCACCAGCAAGTGCAGAACCGTACACGCCATTTCCAAATGACGACTCACCGGCAGTTTCTCCAGCACATACGCCTGCACCTGCACCTGCACATGCACCAGTCGCTGAGATGATGCCCATCAAGCCTGAGTTGAGGAAACCTGCTAATAAAGAAGAGGCTGCCCGAAAGCGCAACCTGAGTGACCTCGTTGATTTAACACAACTTTCAGAAGACGAGGATACGGGTCCACCACCCAAGAGGATGGATACTGGTGCCATGCATACATCTGAGCTTGAGGGTACAACGGATGGCGGCAAGCAACTGTCGACTTCTATCACGAATGGGCCACCGCAGTCCGTTATACAACAATTGCCATCGCTACCTAACAGTCTAAGATATACTACCTACGTTCAGCCACTAGATCGGAACAAGGCACTACGTCGGAATACTTACAATCCTGCAACAATTGCACGCGATGTCTTGATCGCTTGTGGAAGACACCCGTCCCAGCGTAATCTCAACCAGCATTTAGACCAGCTAAGAACAAGCTTGCCTAACGTCACGATGGAGTCAGACCTTAGCACTATCAGGTGGGATCTGATCGATCCTGGCAACCCACCTCCGGACTATTTCAAGGAGAGAGTCGAAGATCTCACACAAGATGCAAATGAGGAGGATTCGGGTGATGACGAGAGACCACGTCCCCGCTCTCCGTCGAATGCGATTGGTGGTGAGAGTGGGGCTCAGGTAAAGGTCCAAGCTTTACCTGAAGCTATCAATCCATTCATCAAGAAGCGACGCGGTCGACGTCCACGAAACTCTTTACCCAACACCATTGAACCAGTGAAACAGCCTGCTCCCATGAACTCAAGTGACCGCCCTGCATCAGGTGCTAGTGGCGTGGGCTATTCAGCATTTCGGTCTGCTACACAATACAACCCTGACGGTACACCAATTCCTAAGAAGAAAGGTCGCCCTGTTGGTTGGAGAAAGGCTATCCATGGATCTGCTGCCACACAGGCTCGAACGAATTCAAACAAAGACACTGGCCTCTTGAATAAGCATCAGCCGCCACAACCAAGCTCCATGCGCAATGTGCGCACAGATGATGCAGCAATTCGTATCGATTCGAGGTCGCCGAGTGTCGTGAACCGCGTATTTCAGTCGTACAAGTGCAAATGGCTGAAATGCACAGCAGAGCTACACAACATGGATACCCTGAAGAAACACGTGTTCAGAGTGCACCGTAAAGAGACAGTCGGCAATATTTTGAATTGCCTGTGGGGTGATTGCAGCAAAGATACTCATTCACATTCTTTTGACCTGGAGAGCAACTGGCGTAGCCATTTACAGCAAGTGCACTTTGATCCGCTGTTATGGGAGCTTGGCGATGGACCGGCCAGTGGTCTCTCTGGTAAGGAAGATGATTGAAGAAGAGCTTGGATTGACATGAGAGAAAGGATCTGACAATGTACAATCTAGACTCGCATGACTCTGATGCTTATCTTAGCGATGCGCAAGGTCGGCAAGTTACTCCACGCATCACAGTCGACCCCCAGCGCCTAGAGGCACTTAGTTTGTCTCCACCATGCTTACTATCCCGAGGTCGCGGACGGCCTCCAAAACGCACCCTAGAGCAAGAAGCCCGTGATGCGCACGATAGGCTCGTATCACTGAAGATGCGTATAGGAGGACCGGGCATGGATCGTGGAGGGGCAACACTTGTGAATGATAAGCGGCGAAGAGGTCTTATTGATGTCGATGAGACAGAAGTGGAGATTGTCAACGTGGAGGAATGAACCAGACGATAGTGCTTTGAGCAGCTTATTTAACACTATTCTCTTGGGTATTTTTTTTCTACAAGTATACGTGTACCCAGTAGGGGCACGATGCGGCATTGGATTGGCAGTGGGCGTGTGTTAAGGAGATCGGGAGCCACGCTGTACTTTATGATAGCCAAAACGAATCGAGCATTCCGGCGACCATAATCGCTTGAGAAACCAAAGTTATATACGCCTGAACGCCATGCCCTTGGACTAACGAGCTCCCCTTTTATGAGACGGGTATCATCTCTACCTCGCAACATGGATACAATTGCGTGTCTCTTGTCAATGATTAACCATGCCATACTCTTCATGCCTTGACCTTTGCTCCCGCAGCCCTTGGCTTCTCCTCAATCTTGTGATCGTCGGAGTTGACTTCCAGGAAATGATAGACGACAATAAGCAGCATGGCAGCGCTTCCAAGGAAGATTGCGAGCGAGTAGAGTTGGGAGTCTGTAATCATCTTGAACGTGACCGCGCGTCGAATCGAGCTGAATGGCTAGTGGAAAGACGTGGGGACGCGCTGCGGAGTTGTTAGCAACACAAACTGGCAAAATAAAACGATGGCAATATCTCACAAAAACTAGGCACAATGCAAGAGTGTGAAAGTCGGGAATGTCGGTGCGGTATTGGTTGCGTAGTACGTAGTGATTTGACTATTGGGGCTCATGTCAAGGCCACCTTGAAGCTTCGGGAATGTCGGCGAGGGCCAGGGCTGGCTCTAGCGCAAGGTCCTCCGCCACTTGAAAATCCACCCCACACAGCGTCATTCTCACTTTGACGCCCACAAAGCCCAGGCACCATATCGCCCATCAACCATCTACCATCCACCGTCGCATTTGGCACGAGCCCATCCCCGAAACTACGTAAATCAACCCACCATCCCTCCAACCCTCACCGTCTTTACAAACCAACACAAACCAAGTAAACATGGCACCCAAGGGCAAGGGCGACCAGCCCAAGGCGAAGAAGGTTGTCGTGGACAAGACCTTTGGTATGAAGAACAAAAAGGGAGGGGCCGCCCAGAAACAGATTGCGCAGCTCAAAGCCACGCAAGCATCGGGAGGTACGCCGGATGAGAAGCGCAAGGCAGCGGAGAAGGCACAGCGCGAGAAGGAAAAGGCGGCGGCCGAGGCGGCGCGCAAAGAAACCGCTGAGCTCTTCAAGCCAGTACAAGTTCAGAAGGTCCCATTCGGAACCGATCCCAAGACAGTGTTGTGTCAGTTCTTCAAAAAGGGCAACTGCGAAAAGGGCAAGAAGTGCAAGTTCAGTCACGACCTGGCTATCGAGCGCAAGACCGAGAAGAAGAGTTTGTATACCGACAGCAGAGACCAAGAAAAGACAGAAGACGAGGAGCGCAAGAAGAAGGACAACATGGATGACTGGGACGAGACCAAGCTGCGACAAGTCGTCCTGAGCAAGCATGGAAACCCCAAAACCACAACAGACAAAGTGTGCAAGTACTTTATCCAAGCCATCGAAGACCAGAAGTACGGTTGGTTCTGGACATGTCCAAACGGTGGAGACAAGTGCTTCTATAAGCACTCTCTCCCACCCGGGTAAGTTTAAACTATTGTTGTTGCTATCAGGGTGTAAACTAACAGGTCGTAGCTTCGTCATCAAGACCAAAGAGCAGCGCGCAGCTGAGAAGGCTCTTATGGCCAACTCCCCTCTTAACACTCTCACACTCGAAGACTTCCTTGAGTCGGAACGTCACAAACTCACCGGAAAACTTACGCCCGTCACACCAGAAACGTTTGCCAAATGGAAGAAGGAGCGTGTTGACAAGAAACAGGCCGAAGAAGAGGCCAAGAGGCTCAAGGATGCCACTGGTAGGGCTATGTTTGAAAAGGGTGACTGGGCTCAAGACAGCGATGAGGATAGCAGCGATGGTGAAGCCGACGATGAATGGAATCTGGAATCCATGAGGAGAGAGACGGAAGCCGCACGGCAAAAGAAGGAAGAAGAGCGCATTGCTGCTTCCTTGGAGAACATGACTGTTTCTTGAATGCCGCTAATCCATTCCGAGTCAGAGACTCGTCGAGGGGTCGAGAAAGGAAGAGGCGACGAGAGCTTGCCGGCTGCCACACAATGCTGAAAAAGCTTGCAGGGCAGGACGAGTATCGCTATGGCAAGAAACCGATTGGCTGTCCTTGTGCACCTGTCGCCATAGCTTTGGGATGATCCTAAGCCTTGTCACTCCATGTGAAATACTGCCTTGAATGGCGGGTCATCAGACTCAATTGGCTTTTGTGTCATTTGGCACTGGCGTCTCGGTTTGTTGGGGGTTCAGGTATCATTGTATGGGGTTCCGAATATAACTACGATTGCATGAACACCATGCTATGTTGATTTACAAGATGCATCATTGCAAGGGGAGTTTGCCGCAACGTTATTTGTAAAGGGAGTATGGAATATCTCACCAACAGTGTCATATCAATTTGACTATCTATAGTACGATATTGATCTCGCAAATATCAAGCTAAAGCCATGACTTTCTGAGGGCGGTGAGTCTCCGTTCAAGGATGCTTATTCTCATAATTTGGACGAGTGTTCAGAGGACGCATGTGAACACTTACTCCATATCACACTGCTATCTCTGTTGAGATGAAACCAGTACATTTCGCGTGCGTTTTGAAGACTATTTCAACGAGATCTTCAGGCATGCATCGTTCTACCCAATGGCGGTGAGGGTATTGCTAGTCTACAGGGAATCACATGCTATTCTCGGACCGAAGTATGCGTATCAACACGTTGTACATACAAACTCTACCAGGAGAAAAAAATTACACTACGGATAGCAGAAACGGTAACTGAGATAGTGAGATCGGAAAACGGAGGGCGTTTGATTGTCTACTACTTGGGGTAATTTGGGATCTCTAGTTACTAGTCACAGATCGGTATTTCGGACAAAGTATGAAGTCCGATCGTTATGTGAAGCCAAAACAGATAATTGACACGTACGACAAGTCCAGAGCACCTCAAGGGAAGTAGATACGGTAAGTAGAGGCACCGAGAGTGGAGTTTGTACTGTGCGACTTGTCATCAAAGGATCACTTGCAGGTTAGCCAAGTCCGAGGTTTGCGCGAGCAGCCCAAGCCGCATGAGGCCACGCTAGACACAAAACGGGAAAGGCCAGCCGTATCTCTAGGACTCAATTGCCGCGCTTCTGTTCCGCCCACGTTTCTAGTCGTCCCCGCAGCATGACGGCACGCGTGCTCGGCCATGCTGCCGTGGAGTACCAAGTCCCAGATACTGGGGCTCTCTAGCATCCGATTTTATTGCCGACCACCTTGCAATCCCGATGTGCGTTGCCTTGAATGCCGTCGTGCACTAGCCCGGCTTGGTCATGGATGGCGTCGGTGGAGGGACAGAGCGAGCTTTCTTTAAAGACCGCTGGGCCGGCTACACTGGATGTTAACTATTTAGCCAATATCCTCGCTACTCTCCCATCTCCTTCTTTCTTGCACTTTTATATTCAACTGTCCTAGCAGCTTTTATCTCGGTACAGTCCAAGTGCAAGGGGCTTTCTTCTGATTCCCATCTTACATCGCGGCGGCGTTCCATACTCCCTTATCTATACCGCCACACGTTTTAGTTTTCAAAGTTACTGAAGGGGAAAAGAAGCCATGGTGGAAAACTACGATGTTGTTATTGTTGGCGCGGGGCCCGTCGGCCTTTGTCTCGGAACCTGTCTGGCAAGATGGGGATACAAAGTCAAGCACATCGACAACAGACCAGAACCTACGGCCACCGGCCGAGCCGACGGTATCCAGCCACGCTCACTGGATCTTCTGAGGAATATGGGCCTCAAGCGCAAGATTATGGAGTATGAGCCAGCGAAAGTTTACGAGGTCGCTTTCTGGGATCCAGCACAAAAGGGTATCCACAGGACAGGCACATGGGCTAGTTGCCCCAAATTCATCGACGCACGATACCCTTTTACCACCCTGCTCCACCAAGGTATGATTGAGCGGACTTTTATCGGGGATATCGAGAAGAACGGTGGCAAGATCCAAAGACCGTGGACGATTACCGGGTTCAAGAATGATGGCAAGGACAAGACATATCCCGTTGAAGTCCAACTCGCGCATGTGGATGGCACAGCTAAGGAGACCGTTCGAGCAAAGTACCTCTTCAGCGGAGAGGGCGCAAGGAGTTTTGTCAGAGAGCAACTGGGTATCAACATGATCTACAAGGATCCCATTGCTCACGTGTGGGGAGTTATGGACGGCGTTGTCAGGACAAATTTCCCTGATATCAAGGTATGTGCTCTCAAGTTTTTTGCTGGTATCAGTTCTTTCATATACTGACAGGATTCTAGATGAAATGCACAATCCACTCTGATGCTGGATCTATCATGATTATTCCCCGCGAGGACAACATGGTACGCCTGTACATCCAAGTAGCATCCTCAACCGACAAGGACTGGAATCCCCGCAAGACTGCTACCGCGGAAGAGGTTCAAGCACGCGCCATTGAGATTTTCAAGCCATACACCATCTCTTGGGATCGAGTAGAATGGTACTCTGTCTACCCCATTGGCCAAGGTATCGCGGAGCGTTACACTCTCGACGAGCGCGTATTCATGGGCGGTGACGCATGCCACACTCACAGCCCTAAGGCCGGCCAGGGCATGAACACCGCATTCCTTGACGCTGTCAACTTTGCCTGGAAGATTCACCACGTAGAGAGCGGCTGGGCACCACGCTCCCTCCTTTCCACCTACGAATCCGAACGCAAGCTCATCGCCGAGACCCTTCTCGACTTCGACGCCCGCTACGCCAAACTCTTCTCCACCCGCATCCCCTCCGCGGGCGAAGTCGCCGGCGCCTCCGCCAAGGAAGCTCCAGAAGACAACGAATTCATCAAGACCTTCAAGGCAAGTTGCGAATTCACAAGTGGCTATGGCGTAGCCTACAACCCCAACCTCGTCAACTGGGGCCCCCAACACCCCGCACAGCACCCCCTCATCCTCTCCTACCCACAAGGCACCACCCAGCGAACCGGCCGCATCCTCACCCCCGCAACCGTCACCCGCGTCGTTGACGCCAACGTCGTGCACCTGGAACAAGAAATCCCCTTCAACGGCTCCTACCGCATTTTCATCTTCGGCGGCACCCTCGCCAAATCCAGCACCGCCCTCAAGGACCTCGCCACAAACATGTCCTCGCCTAACTCTTTTTTCAACGCCTTCCTCCACCCAGACATCAAAGACAAAGACCGCTACCACGAGAAACACAACCCCCACTCTGACTTCTTCTCCCTCGCCCTCATCTTCGCGGAGCAGCGATCAAAGATCGAGATTGACGAGCAGTTGCCCCAGCCGTTTGCGCGCTATGCCGATCACGTTTATGCGGATGATGTGTGGGATCAGCGTGTCCCTGATGCAAAGGCCGCGGCGCACGCCAAGATGGGTCTGGATCAGGAGACTGGTGGTGTCGTTGTTGTACGACCTGATGGCTATGTCGGTGTTGTGGTCAAGCTGGAGGAGGGTAAGGGTACGTGCGAGGCGCTGGATGCATGGTTTGGCGTTGTTACTGGGAAGAAGTTTGGGGGTGAGCGGGCGAGTTTGTAGAAGAGGATGATTAGGAGTTAATGATGGGAATGAATTTGGGAAAATGATTGTTTGCATAGCGTATGGTTTTGTTCTTTAGATACGTTTTCTTATTTAAAAATTAATGATAGTTTAAATGATCTAAAAACATGTCAAGATGGGATTTTTATGGATGAGTGCTCGTGTTTGTTCGGATTCCCTCCCTCCCTCTTTTGCAGCGAGGTGCCGATCAAGGTATGCAGACCTAATTTCACTGGATGGGAATCCAATCTTTCTGTGTGGAACCTTACATGCTTGCGGAAACAATGAGGGAATATGTCATAAAAACCAAGTCACGGCATCCCCCCATGCTTGGAACGAGATTAAAGTAGATGGAACATGAGTAAGACAAGCGAGCCCGTAAATGACCATCAGTCACCTGTCCAAAATCAATCAAAACCCCTGCTTCAACCCCAGAACAAAGTTTTACCATATGTCGCCATATGTGTCATGAAGCCCGTCAATGGCAAAGAAAAAGCATGTCCGTGAATGCGAATCAATTGATAAAACGATGTTTGAATTTTCCCATTGTCAATGCAATTCCATATATGAAAGATTGACATCAAAAAATCCTTATCTCTCTAGATCAAAAAAAAGAATAGTCTATGCACACAAGTCTTAACCATGTAGCTTCCCGCTCCCCCAAACGCCCCCATCTATCCCATCTTCTAACTCACAACCCTCTTCAAGTGCGCCGCCTGTCTTGGCTCGATAAACAGCGCCTCAGCCTCTGTAAGCACAACGCCATCCTTCTTCCCCTGGTTCCACTCCTCGGCCTTGGGCAGCGTCTCGAGCCGTCCCTTAACCCACGCCTTCCTGCCCTCAACCTTCGTCGTCTCAGCATGCAGAACGACAATCTGGCCCGCCATGCAGGGTGCCTTGTAGTTTATTGTCAGGCTAGCCGTGACACCGACTTTGTTGGGGAGCGCAGGGAAACAGCAGCGTGCGAGGCCTTCGTCGAGAAGTGTGGCTAGGAGACCTCCGTGTACGATGCCTGGGTGTCCGCATAGCGCGGTGCCGAGGTACTGTATCGCAACAAACTGCGAGCCATCGGCTGTGGAGAATTGGAGGGGTGGTGAGGCGATCTTGTCGGGTCCGAGGAGTGTTCCACCGGTCAGATTCTGGGCCCGAAGTTGCTCGGGGATCTTGAGGTGGGGGCGCGCGGCGATGAATTTGGGGTCTGCGAGTAGGCTCTTGGTGAGCGGGTGTTCGAATATGCTCTTCTCGATCTCTGCGACTTCTTCGGTGGAGGGGTTGAAAAGTTCGAGGGTCTCGGCGTCCGTCGGTGGGTTGGCGAGTTCCTGGAGGGACTGGACTGCGGGGGCGCCAGCCATGATGAAGCCGGTAGTGAAGGTGAGGAGCGTAAGCGCGAGGGCAATGGGTAAGCGTATGTAGGCAGGGCGTTTAATCACAGGACTCGGGTTAGGAGAAGGTGGTGGGGTCGACTGAGCAGTATGCGATTGTTGGGGCAGCGATGCTACAAAAGTTGTTTAGTTTAGAGTCTACAGATTGCATATTGACTGTCGCAAAGGGCAGGGCGACCAGACTTACCGATATCACTCTGTTGCCTTATCTGTCTCGAGACGTATGCCCACTTTGCCTGCGAGACAATTCCATCTTTTATACCAGGCCGGCCGACTTCGCGCCGCGCCAATGGCGGCCTACTATAGGTACCCCGACAGCGACCCACATGCCTAAATGCGGCCGATCTTGCGGATAACATGGCTTTTTAGTGCCCAGAAGCAGAAAGTGTCCGGCCTAGTCGTTTGTTGCGATTCGAGTCGGTGTGCGAATGGCGATAGAAGGTTCCGCCCTCAGCTCGGACCTTCGGAATGATGTACCTCGGCCCAGGGAAAGTCCGCTGTTTCATGCATCTTTTGTAAGGCAATTTCCTCTGTGGCTGGCCAAGACAAAGGACAGAGCACTAGCAGCCATGTTTCTTCAAGGCTCGGCCGATGCCATGGGGAACAACCTGCTTTTGCCTTCACTGAGAACCCCCTATCTTTTTACGGGATGTCGTCGATGCCCATTTACACACACACCTTTGGAACTGATGGGAAAACTCCAGACTCTAGACGTCACCTACATGCATAGAAGCAACGCTCAGCGCGAATTCATCTCATGCGTATCGATTTTGGGATTCTTCCCCACAGCCTTTGCTTTTGCATGCTTTGGGCTGACCATATCCCCTTTACATCGATCCATTCAATCGTCATACTATACATACAGAGTTGAGAAGTGTGTCATGTCGAACGCCGTGCCCATCTGTAGCGCTCGTCTATCCACTTCCATGACCCAGAGAACAAATCAAACTACCCAGCGTACAAGACTGGGTTTATAATAAAACAAGATAGCAGAATCTTTTGGACGCCAAAGATGCCGGGAGAATAGAAGCGTAAATGTGAAGATGTGAACGGGGACGTAGTCGTACAGCAGCAAGTGCAAATGCAAAGAAAGGAATCGAGGTAGTGAGTAGCTCAGTAGTAATCCCTGGCACTCTTTTGCAGCTCGATCAGTCGCCATCCTCTTGTCTCAGGATTGTTAACATCTTCTGGTATCCTGGTAACACCAATGGCGTATGTCACCTGTTGGACTTTATCGTCCATTCCAGAAGCCAGCTCTCCGCTCTTCGCATTTCGGTAAACGTGCACCTCTTGGGTTCTGCACGTGAGGATGAAGACAGGGATCTCTCCAGGCTCCAAAAGTTTTGCGTTGAGAACATCAACACCGCGGATATCCACAATCTTTCCGTCAGACTTGAGACCAGCGGCCTGGTATTGCTGCATCAGTGCAGCGTATACGGAGTACTGGGCTGCCGACAGCCACTCCTTCAGAACAGCGACGTCACCCTTGACATAAGCATCCAAGACCTCAGGCAGGATGTATTCGCGCATCTCAGTCAGGAAAGACTCCATCTGGAAGTTGGGGTCCATTTCCCGAAATTTCTTGATGACCATTGCTGTTTCATTTTCGGCGAAGAAACCAGTGATGCGGTCCGAGATGCTGCGAGCCGTCTCAATGAGGGGGTTGTCAGACTCCCTGTAGACAGCTTTCATATTGAAGAACCCTTGGGCGAGCTTGGAGTTGTCTTTCCACTCCCTCCAGACCTCTTTGTACTTTGCGTCCTTGTGTAGTGTTACATTGGTACCGGCACTGTGCAATGTTAGTCAAGAAGTATCAAGTTGTTAGAGACAATCTCACTTTGGGTCCTCTTCCATTGGCCCAAGAGCCTTGCCGCCAGTTCGCTTGAGCTCGTTGAGCTCACGCAACTCTCGCCTCTTCCTGCGCTCTTCCTTTTCAACCCAGCCACCATATCTTGATGAGCTGCCATCATCAATGGTCTCCTTTACAGCCTGGAAAGCTTTCGTCTGTCGCACTGGTCTTGTTGCGTATTCAATACCGCTTCCAGTAACCCTAGCAGCAGCACGAACGCCCTTCACAGGCATGGTATCCCACGTCCAAGCAGCACCCTGACCGACAGCTGATGCAGTCGCTTTCAATGCCTCCGTTGTCTTTGTCTTTGCAGCCTCAGAGATTTGGCCGGCTCTTTGGACATTTGGGTTCTGTTGGAAATCGTGTAGCGCGCCGCCCAATTGCTTTGTTCCCTCGTTCCAGTCTTTCGAAGCCTGGAATTCCTGCTTCAGCGTCTCAGTGAAGACTTGCCAAGGAGTCTTGTCACCGTGGGGTGGAGGTGGAGGTGCATCCTGCTTCTCCTTCTTCTGATCCTCTTCACCTTCCTTTTGCTCGCCCTCCTCCCCGCCCTCCTTCTTTTCGTTTGCTTCCTCGCCCTCTTTCTTTGTGGCTTCCTCTGCAGTGCTGCCCTCGGAGGCTGTAGACTTCTTAGCCTCCGATTGCGGCGCCGGTTCTTCGTCCTTTACACCCTTCTGCTTTTGTGCTTGCTCGTACAGGGCGGGCCGAGAAGAAAAGTGGCGGGCATATGCGGAGGATGTGCGGAAGAGAACATCGTGAGGCAGGAAATTACTGCGAAGAAATGGCTGTGGTGAAGCCAAGGACGCCAATGGCACGGAGGTACGTGAGACAGAGCCTTGCGGCGTCTGAGGCAATGTCGATATCCGTCTATAGGATGTAGCCCTTGCGTATGCGGTTGCTGGTGTTGCAGCGGCGACGGGTTGTATGCTCCATCGCGCACTGGCGGCAAATGTGCTTGCAGTCGGCGGTCTCATGCTCTGGAAGGGATTAATGCAGAATCTCGAGTCTCAAGTTTCAGCGTGTGACTGGCCCAGGAGTGGTGCGATCAAATCGAGGCCGCGGCAAATGTTGAGTGAAAACGTCAGGCGGCATTGCCATCTTTTTCCGCATCGGCCACTCGGCAATGCCAAGCATCGTAACTTCGCAACTTTCTTTGACCTTCTAGCCCACCATTGTTCCTGCAGTCTTGATTGGGGCGTCTGTCACTACCACCAAACATGGCTCACAACACCGCGTTACGGACGTTTCGATCCTTCACAAATACAATTGCTACATCATGCCGACATGCGCAATCGCTGCGACCCTTCACCCACAGTACACGAGCCCTCAATGCAGCGCCGACCGACCGCAATAAACCAGAGCAGTCAATGGACTCATTGCTCTCAAACGTATCCCAAAATTTTTACCAAGCGGGGCAAGACCAATTCTCGACCCTCATACCAAATGCGGACGGCTTTCCCAGAGTCGGCAACCTAGTCCAGCGCGAATGGGAAGAAGACGACAAGCATAAACTACACGTCTACGCAACTAAACACAATACACATCTGTGCCTTACCAGACCCAATCGTGATCCATTGATATCGGTATCATGCGGTAACATTGGGTTCAGGAAAGCGGGGAGAGGCTCGTATGACGCTGCCTATCAGTTGGCTGCATTCCTGATGAACAGAATCCAGGACAAGGGCTTGTTACCACAAATCAAGAAATTAGAGTTGGTATACAGAGGATTTGGCCCAGGAAGAGAGGCCGTCACAAAGGCGATATTGGGCGCCGAGGGAAAGAAGATACGGCCGTTGATTGTCAAACTGGCAGACTCGACGAGGTTGAAGTTTGGCGGCGTGAGAAGCAAGAAGCCGAGGAGATTGGGTTAGAGACTGTAGATGGTGTGATCAGGCAACTTAAAGAGAAAGACGGAAACTGTACGATGGTATGTTAGACCTGGAAAGCGTCCATGAATAGAGGCCTTCAGCGCTAAAGTGCAAGCATCACGAAAGAGCAGTGCATGTGCAAGGACGACGAATTAGACCAGCTTGAAAGTCATGTTAAATTCCTCGGGAGTGGCGCCCTTTCAGCGGGCGGCATAGTCCTCCCACTAGAATCTGTCTCCGCGATGCTGACAAGTCTGGGCGCAAGATTTCTGGTCTCATTCCTGATATGCCCTCTTGCGCCTCCCTGACCACTCCGACTACTTCCAGCAGAATTGCTCGTGTTCTCCCAGCCCCTTGTCTCCTGAGCTGTCCGAGCGCGTTCTCGTTCTCGGTCATGTCGCAGCATCGACGACCCTTCGTCTTCGAATTCTTCGTCAAGTAACTCTCCATCCGCAGTATCATAATCCGGTGGCGCTATCCATTCCCGTGGTACAACGCATGGAAGAGCGACGCCGATGCTAGCCGCACGATTCAAATAGCCCGGGGCTGGGCGACCGGTAAGTTTTTCGCAGAGATATGATGTGAAGTGATTGCAGTTTTTTGTGAGGAGGTTGTATGATGTTCCTTGGAATTCATGTGAGGCCTGCAAGCGGTTAGTCGGACCCTTTTGACTTGCCTAGCATTTCAAACCTCTTGTATGATAGCATCCAGTTCTTCGGCGGGGCGGAATGAGAAGCCGTGTAGAATCGCCTGCTTGAAAGTGCCACCCGGAGGCTCCAGTCCGGGCTTGGTCCAATACACTCCAGTTAGGTCTCTCCGGTCGTGTCCTCCGTATGCGTATTCCTTGTCGCCGATGACCACACCAGAGTGCAAGAGAGAACTTCCGATTGCCCAGAGGATACTTGATATCTTGCCGGGAGGCAGCAGATCGTAAACGTTGATTGTGATTTCGGTTCTCTGCATGGATAGCGTATTCCTATGGTGGTTGGAACTTGTGCGCGCAGGTTTGGGACGAGTAGTAGACGCCATTCTGTGCGCCCGTGTGCGTATTATTCGGATATAGTATTTACTGTTGCGGCTATCTCTGCGCTGGCACCAAAGACAACGGGTGGGGTATCATAGGCACGAATAAAGCAACGCTTGGTACTGAGGATGCGGCCCGGCGGAGGGCGTAGGGTTGTAGGGTGAGATAGACGAGGGCTGTAGACCGGGGCCTGCCCGTGAAGAGGCGCGGAGACTGAGGTGTGGGGTGCGGAGATGGAGGATGGGGATGTACGTAGGGTTCACGACAGTAGACGTGCAACACCGCTGTTTGGCGATCCGAGGTGCAGCGGCGCGGCTAGCATGCACCCAGGCCGGGGAGGCCATTGCCTCTTTCAGCCTAACTGCATATCTGCGCCAAGCGAGCGCCCAAGGTGGTCCTAGCGTCAAAACTTAAGCTGTAAAATTCGATTGGACTCCAGTCACCCAACCAACCCAGCAAACGCAGGAGAGCGGCTGCAAGTCACTCTCTCACCCCTCTATTTCATCACGCCCCCCACCCGGCTTCTCACCTTTTCTTTCTCTTCTTTGATACCCACTTTTTACCGTCCGGCAGCAAGTACTGCCAGCCAGTTTTCCGCGCCTTTGCTCTCTTGTTCCTCCCCCGCCAAATTTTTCATCACCTTCACAACTGCCCGCTCCTACGCTTCGGCGCCCAAGAAGAAAAAAATGCCTCCCAAGAAGCAAGTTGAAGAGAAGAAGATTCCGCTCGGCAGGCCAGGCAACAACTTGAAGACGGGTATCGTGAGTGAGAGCCCTATGTAGGCCTGTTTTGTCGCCTTCTCACATTAACAGTAAATGCCAGGTCGGCCTAGCAAACGTCGGCAAGTCGACTCTCTTCCAAGCTATCACCAAATGCTCGCTTGGTAACCCTGCCGTAAGTCGCCCGCAATTCCGCACCCAGAGCTTGCGCTGATATGCCCAGAACTTTCCATATGCCACCATTGACCCAGAGGAGTCTCGCGTCCTCGTTCCCGACGAGCGCTTCGACTGGTTGGTAGAGCACTACAAGCCCAAGTCGGTCGTGCCCGCCCATTTGACCATCTACGACATTGCTGGTCTGACGCGCGGTGCTTCCACTGGTGCCGGTCTCGGTAACGCCTTCTTGTCGCACATCCGTGCCGTCGATGCCATCTTCCAGGTTGTCCGATGCTTCGATGATGCCGAGATCATCCACGTCGAGGGTGACGTAGACCCAATTCGTGACTTGGACATTATTGCCGAGGAGCTGCGATTGAAGGACATTGAGTTTGTCGAGAAGGCGCACGCCAACCTTGTCAAGGAAACTCGCCGAGGTGGTCAGAGTTTGGAGATGAAGAAGCTCAAGGAAGAGCAGGCTACAGTTGAGAAGGTCCTTGACATGCTCAAGAATGGCAAGGATGTCCGAAAGGGCAACTGGTCACCTAAGGAGGTACGTACGCCTTTTTTTTCGCATCCCTTCCCATTACAAGATGACAAAGAGCGATTGCTCTATAATCCCAGCTCTCTGATGGCCCATTAACGCTGGGCCGTTCTGAAGTGACGTCCTTTTCTGATATATTATACTCTTACTCGATTCGCATTACATGAACTCTTTTGCGATTCTTGCTAACGATTTGTTAGGTCGAGCACATCAACCCTCTCTTCCTTCTCTCAGCTAAGCCTGTTGTATACCTTGTCAACTTGAGCGAGAAGGACTACATCCGCCAGAAGAACAAGCATCTTCCCAAGATTGCTGAATGGGTCAAGACCAACGCCCCTGGCGACCCAATCATTCCTATCTCCGTGCAGCTTGAGGAGCGCATTGCTGTCATGTCCGATGCAGAGGCCGCCGAGGAACTCAAGAACCTCAACACCAAGTCGGCTCTTCCCAAGGCCATCCAGACGATGCGCAAGGCTCTCCAGCTCGGTAGCTTCTTCACAACTGGTACCGACGAAGTCCGACAATGGACAATAAGAACAGGCACCAAGGCGCCACAAGCTGCTGGTGTCATTCACGGAGACTTTGAAAAGACATTTATTCAGGCAATTGTGTACAACTACCAGACTCTGAGGGAAGAGGGCGACGAAGCCACTGTCAAGGCAAAGGGCAAGATCATGACCAAGGGCAAGGATTATGTTGTTGAAGATGGTGATATCATGTTGATCAAGGCGGGTGCTGCCAAGGCATAGATTGCTTTATACTTGTATGCTTGAGAGAGGCTGTGTCGAGCCAAGAGTGGTTCCCAGCCATGTGTGTGTATGTGTCTATGATTTACATATGCGTCTCGCGACGAGGATGATGATGATGATGATGAAAAGCAGCTAGTCTGTCTATGAAGGAATGAGAAGAAATGTTCAGTGAAGACTTGCGTTGTACTTGTGGTGTTGATGATGGTGTTGATGATTAAGTGTGTTCCATTTTTCTTTTTAGCTGATGTGGGGCTTGGACAATTGCCATGTATTTAACATGGTATTTGTGAATGAAAATGAAGAGGTAATGTGGTCGACAGCGTTTTTTCTAGCATTACTTTAGAGATGGCTTGGTCTCGACGAGCATCCAACTGTTGCCACAGACGCAGTGCTTGCTCACGCCCACCAACCACTGATAGTGGTGAATGGTGTAGCCCTGCAGACCAGGCACAACATCCTCCATACAAGCACCGCATCGCACACACTGTCTCAGCATATTTCTGCCCTTTCTCTCCGAACCAGACTCTCCATTCACAGTCCCAGCACCACCGGCCGAAGCACCACCGGCACCGCCAGCAGCACTCTGCAAACTATCGCTCCTACCCCTGCCCCCCATCAAATGGTGTCCGGACGTATTAACAGGATGCACCCACGTGCCCACTCCACGAATAATCATCTTCTGGCACACGTCCACTACATGCTCGTCATGCCAAACCCTTGCCCGCTTCGAATCCGTGAAGCCCAACCACGTCGTATCGAAGAACATGAGTTTGCCCATATCCAGCTTATCGGCCAGGCAAGAATTCTGCTGGTTGGAATTCCACAGCGCATCCGTGACAAGGCGCTTGGCTACAGGAAACAAGATGTCTGGGATTTTACCAAGCAGGATCTCGCGCTCGATGCTGTTGCGCTGAGCGTCGTTTAGATTGCGCTGTTTGTAGATGGCGCGGGTGTGGGCGGTAGTTTCTGTGACAAGGACTTCGAACCAGCGCCATTCAAAGGGAAGTTCGGAGACGGCGGAGAGGAGCGGGGTGTATAGCCGTTTTGATTCTGGCGATTGTACGGGAACGGGACCGCCGGGGGCGGAGGGGTTGGTGGCGTGGGATTCGGCGCTGCGTTTTACCCATTGGATTGGTTGGGCCCAGAGTTTCATCATTGCGCGGGGGAAGGCGGAGAGGAGGAGGAGGATGGCGGGTTTGTTTGTTTCTTTGATTTTGGACTCGAGGACGTCGCGGGTTAGGTCTGCGGGGGGGATGTCGGATAGGGCGCGGCCGAGAGCAAAGAGGTCGTCGAGGATGTAGGCCATGAAGTGCATGGTCCAGCGGATTGTACCGATCATTTGGGGGACGGCTTCGGGGCGGAGATTGATTTTGGATACGTCGCCGTGCATGCGGACGATGGTTGTGAGGATCTGGGTGACGTACTTGATGTTGAGGATCTGCCATGCGGTTTTGCTGACCAAGGTGCGGTTGATGGTGCCTTGGAGGCCCAGGAGATGCATTGCTGAGAGGGTTTTGACAAAGAAGGGTGAGCGCCCAAGCAGGATGAAATGATTGGTAGATGAATCGTCAATGCCGCAGTCGATGTTCACCTGCAGCCCTTCAAACAGCAGGGTGATGAAGTCTTGCTTTCGTTTGTCGCTCATTGAATCAATGATGGCGAAGATGTCATCGCTAGAGAAGTATTGGTTGGCGGCTGAGGAAGACTGAAGAATGAGTGCTGCAAGCGCAGCAGAGTGGTGTGGGTCATCGTCCTCTGCGGACAATGTGCCGTGAGTGTACTCCATCAAACGAAGCTTCGTGGTGCCATCTAGTTGCATCCCAACAGCTACGCAGTGGTTCGGGGAGAAGGCAACATGCAACGAAGGTTCAGCGTGTTGGAATACGAAACCGGCCTGTAGTAGCGAGGTCACATTGTCAGTATTGTCGTCAGGCATGATGACCTCCATTGTAGATCGCTTCCTGAACTCGATCAAACCATCGCTATAGCAAAAGGCTAGCAGCATGTTGTACCACATGGGGTAAAAGTCCAGGACAACTGAATGGAGTGCAGCATCTGGTTGACGTTTTAAAAGAAAAGTGGTCTGGGCGGGGAGTGAGCTGACACTTTTCTTCTTGGATGTAACCTGTTCGAGGCTGGGGTGTAGCTGGTTCTGCTGCTCTTGATGCACTTGCCACTTGACAATGATGCTGTAGCGTGTCTCTTGTGGATTCATGTCATATGAGATGGGATTGGGTGGCTTGCAGAATATGGCCTGAATTGTTGGTACGGAGCCGTCATCTTGTTGAGGTGTGACGGGAAGGAAATCAAGATGAGTCAGTTGTGCAGCAGCAGCAGCGGCACTTTCTGAGGTCCCACCATTACTTAGTTCGTCGGTGGCCATGTCAACAGGATTGCAGGTATCCTCTAGAGCGAGGAGTGAGACCTGGATTGCGGGCTTTTCAAAGGGGCCAGCATTTTGGCTTCTTTTATCGGCTGGAACATTCCAAATTGTCTCAACGCGGTACAGATGCAGGCGCCTCTTGACATCATATGCTGCTAGAAGAAGAGTGTTGTCTATTCTCGTTAGTGAAGAAAAGAGATGGAAAAGAAAAGGGAGGTACCATTGTTAGAGGCGAAGGCGGCGTGAGTAAACGACTCTTTGGTGGAGATCATGGGGCCCAGTTGGGTGGATGTCTCCTGCCAATTGTTGTCGTTTTGTTGGAAGCGGAGTTTGAGTTCGCCGTATCTCTTCAGATAGATGAGCGAGGCTTTGCCGTCAACGGGGTGATGGGCATTGTTGAACAAATGTTGTCGAATGTTCCATTTCCACTTGTTGCCTTCTCGTGCAGCTGACCAGGCAATCAGATTCTAGGAGAGTGTAAACGATTTTGGCCATGGCGAAATGATGGGACTGCTACCTTTTGTGCATAGGGCAGGATTGCAAGCCAATGCATGCCGACAACGGCGTCGACTTCTGATTCTGGATGGGCAATCTCAGCTCTGGCGAAGTGCATGCGGTCCAGGGCCATGGCACAGGAAAAGATCATGACGCGGCCTGCTTGGTCCATGACGGCCAGGTCGTTGCCCAGATGGCTCCATGACAGGTGAATCAATGGGAATACTTCGGAGCCGTGGGGCAGCTCGAGAGGAACCGTCTTGCCGAGAGCCCACTTGCCCGTTTCAGGGTTGCGGGAGAAGATTTTGAGGTTGACGGAATAGCCATCTGGAGTTATGTAGGCGACACAGCCGTTTTTGGACCATGAGATCTTTCTATCGCGTGTTAGAAGAGGTTGGGGAGGCAAGGAAGGCCTGGCCTACTGGCAGCAGCCGGTAGAGCCCAGCTCGTCGATCCGAGCATCCCGACCTTTTACGGGCGGTGTGGTGTTTATGGTCTGGATGTTGACATGCTCCGAGTCGCCAAAGAGATCATCGACGTCCATGTTGTAGCTCGCGCCATCCATGATGACGGGCGCCAGGCAGTGGGCGGGGCTAGAGCAAAGAGAGACTAGGAGAGAGTGGGGCCAGCAGCGGCCGGGTATCACAGCAAAACGCAGGAAAAGAACGAGGGACGAGGTTGCAAGGCGAGCGGCAGAGGGTTGCAGAGGCTCTCGCAGGCTCCCGAGGCGTGGTTGGCACGCAAGAGCAAGGGAAGCATGGATGGCGGCAGTAAGCGACGCGCTAACGGCGACTAGCGCGCTTCTAGCTCGTGCACTGTGCGTTTGCGTTGGAGCTGGTGCACCATCGTCATGGCCAAGTTTTGATCCCAACACGGCCCTGGCCACGACGGATGCAGGCGCTGCAAGACACGCTGTGCAGGCTCGAAGGCACAGTCACGGCCCAGACGAGGTGCTGCGACAGGAGAAGCGCACGCTGCTTGCACGATGGACTGCCTCGCGCCGGCCAGGCATTAGGGCTGGGCGCGGGCAGAGCGAGAGAGACATGTGATATCGCAAAAAACAGCCAGTGCTCTGTACATGCATGGCACACATGTACACATGCATGTACACATGTACATGGCCAGAAAACCAGTCCAGGCCACGGACAGCTGGCTGTCGTCAGGCTTGCTTCTGCTGAGCACTGGACCGACTCAGCACGAGCCCGGGCCACGGCCATGGACGCATGTCCCAGTCGTCTGTGAACTGTAAACAGGTGGGTGTTTGGGTGGCCGGTTGGCGGCTCTCTGCAGCGGTGCCCCATGGTTGTCGAGGTGAACCAGCGCTGGGCCCGTCATGGTCACAACCTCCGCCAGACCTCTTCAACTCTCCTCCACCACCTCCACCTCCACCTCGACCACAACCACGCCCGCCGCAGCCACTGCAGACGCGTCTGTTTGCGACGCGCACCCGCCCTATTTTTATCGCGCCTTTCACTCGCCGCGCAATGGCATAGCGCTCCCTCTGCTATTCGCACCCATCTCCTTGACGGAGATCCAACGGCCAGCGGTGGACAGCAACCACGACCCACACATAGCCCTACTCATTCTGCGCTTCCCACACGCCCGCCCTCCAACACGCCCTCTGCACGCGGCATATCTCGACGGCCCGCTGCGTTTCTCTGCGCTCGCCCTATGCGCGCCCCAGGGCGATAATTGCAGCTACACGTCCCGTTGTAGCTCCCGACGCGGCCTGCCGCTGAAGCTGCTGCCGAAGCTGCCGCCGCTTCCCTTCACCATCGCACCTTCTGCACCGCACCCGCTGGTCGCTGCCCACTGCTCGACACCCCACACCACTCGCGTCGCGCCTGCCCCCTTCACAATGGCTTCACCCACCCCAACAAACGTGCCTAGCTCGCCCTTGACCGAAATGTCGGATTCTGAAATCTCGCTCCTCTCTCGCTCACCCACTCCACCCCCGGAGCTGACCACGCTCGTCCACCGACGCGCCTACATGTCGCCCTCGTCCTCGCAGCGCTCGTCCGCCAAGACAACGCCCGTCCCCGAAGACATGCCCTCGCCCCCATGCAGCAGCAACGACGACAACCCGCGTCCGCCAAAGCGGAGGAAGACAATGGAACCCAAGGAGCGCACAGCAGAATATCTCGACCTGTCCAAGCCCGTCGTTCCCCTAGAACATCTGCCCCAGCTGCAGCGCTTGCTGACCGTCTTGCACAAGAAGCGCAAGATTGTCGTCATTGCAGGGGCTGGTATTTCCGTGTCAGCTGGCATTCCAGACTTTCGCTCGGCCACTGGCTTGTTCAACACGCTCAAAAAAGAGCACAAGCTCAAGTCGTCTGGCAAGGACCTGTTCGACGCCTCTGTTTACCAGGATGACACGTCCACATCGACGTTCCACGACATGGTCCGTACCCTTTCTCACCATACCAAATCGGCCCAGCCCACCGCCTTCCACCACCTCCTCGCCACACTGGCCCACGAAGGCCGTCTCATGCGACTCTACACCCAGAACGTCGATGGCATAGACACGTCGCTGCCTCCTCTGAGCACACAGGTCCCTCTACCAAAGAAGGGACCCTGGCCCAAGACCGTGCAGGTCCATGGCGGCCTTGACTACATGTCGTGTTCCAAATGCCAGGCGATAACGCCCTTTGATGCCGACCAATTCAACGGCCCTAGCCCGCCTCCTTGCCCGAGCTGTGTCCAAAATGATGAGATTCGTCAGGTCGCGGACAAGAGAAGCCATGGCATCGGCCGTCTGCGCCCACGCATGGTCCTATACAATGAGCACAACCCTGACGATGAGTCAATCGGTTCCTGCGCGTCATATGACATGCGCATGAGGCCTGACGCTGTTATTGTCGCTGGCACCACGCTCAAGGTCCCAGGCGTACGGCGTATCGCTCGTGAAATGTGCAATATTGTTCGTGACCGCAAGGATGGTGTCACGATATGGCTGAACAATGACCCTGAGCCGGTTGGAAAGGACCTTGAGGACAAGTGGGATTTGGTTGTCAAGGGCCCCTGTGACGAAGTTGCCCGCCACGCCAATATGCGCCGATGGGATGACCCCATGGAATACAAGACAGTCACCGAGGAGCACCTGAGTAGAGTCAAGGAAAAGCAAAAGGCAGAGGTGGTCATTGGTACCCCTCGCAAGCCGGGTGTTCTTCGCAATGCCGGCCAGCTGACACCTGGCCAAAGCCCACGCATCCTTGCCCACTCATTTGATAAGGAGGAGCCAGAAACACCATCGAAGAAGGGCACAAAGAGAAAGGCGGATATTCAAAATGCCCAATTAGACCTCTTCGGCAAGGTGGCGGGAAAAGCACCTACAAGAAAGCCCAAGGGGCAGACAAAGAAGGCAACAGCGGCAACCAAGACCAAAGCAAAGAAGGAGCCCAAGGAGGTTCCTGCTATCAACAATGTCTTCAAGGCTACCAAGGGTGCTGCAAAAAGTGGCTCCAAATCTTTGGCCAAAAAGTCTGATCCTGCTTTCCCTCCAATTGAATCCCAATTCAACCCACAGCTCAAGCCAAAGGAAAATGTCGCCGACGTGATTGCCGTTGGAAAGCGCCAGCCTCCAATTACTCCTAGGAAATTGGCGAGACTGACGAGGATCAAATCGGACTACGTCTTCCAGCCCGTATCAAACGTGGACGGTCGCAACAATCACTCGCCAAAACGGCCACCCATTGAAAGCTTTACGCCTACCAAGGATCGAACACCCAATGCTCAGATTGAGGAGGAAATGGCATTTGCACACGCCACATGCACGAGCGAGTCTCGCCCTTCATCATCTGGGAGTGCACAGCGGCATGTAATCGAGAGCCCTACAGGTGCTGTTCCCAAGAACATGAACCACCTTCTTTGCTAGCATTCATCACATTTTCCGGCGCTGAAGGTACGACATATTTTATTCTTCTTTTCGCATTTGTGCGCGTGCTATGACCGGTTCGAGGCGTTTGCTTGTGTGTACAGATGTATTCCAGCTGTATCATTACCTTTTTTTCATGTTGGACGTGCGTATCCTACTTGTTTCGGCTGCATGATACCCGGGCGGACCCCTGGTCGAGGCAGAATAGGACGGTAGAGTCCCTTGGGTCCTAGGACTACGTTTTAAGGAGATAGAATAGCGCTCTTGCCGCAGTTGATACTCGTTGTTTACGATCTCAGTCAAGTAGTCTTATTTTGCCATTTGACACGGGGGCGTATCAACGTTTTACTTTTGTTCATGCAACATGTTCCTTCTCCTGCTCCCAATACGTGACTGTTGTTTACAGTGGGTTACGCGTCTTTGACACGCCTTCGGAGGCTGGCGCGGTCTAGGCGCTTTGTCCACACTGCATGTCTAGCTGACAACTTGCCTTTCAATCCTTGCACTCAGCATGTTCGCCCGATGTAGATTCAGCCCTTTTTCTTTCTTGCTCGTGATAATCTGCTACCAGCATCTGGGTGGAATTGTATGCAATTCCAGCAAGCTGCTCGATTTGGCGTTGCCAAACAGAACAACGACACCACCTACTTATATTCCGACTCAGCTAGACTGAGCGTGAAGATATCTCTGGTCTGCCCTGAGCAACTTTGTCTCTAGACTGTAGGAACTTGGTAGTCAAGCAAAATGCCTTCACCACTTACGGTGCGGAACCTGACTCCGACCGCTATCTCTTTGCTGCGTGTTGAGCGGTTTGAAGATCCAAACACGCTACAATCAAAACCCCATGGATACTTTTTGAGTTCCAAAAGTACCACGCCTGCAACACCTACATCGCCAGAGCTCAGTGGACATGCCCAGAGCTTCAATCATCAAGACCTGAAAGTCACGTTACAGCCTTTTGAATCCTATACGCTCAAGTTCCCCAATCCAACTCAGCCTAGCAATGCAGCTACACTGTCGAGCCCAGTGCTCCGTATTACAATCCAAACAGCCAAAGCTGAACGCTATCGCATCGACTCGAATCCCTCATACACGCAAAAGTCGACACAAGCCTTGATTGCACTGTCCGCCAATCCTTCCGCAAGCTACAATGCCATCTTTCACCCTTCTAAGCCAATCCCTCACCTGGCAATTCAAAGCAACCACATTCCCAGCTATGCCTCATGGATGTCCACACTCCCCAACAGCCTCCCTCTCTCAGCAATTAGCATACCAGGAACACATAACTCACACACGCACTACCGCGCCCTACCGTCTGTCAGATGTCAAGTCCACGACATAAAAACCCAACTGGAAAACGGAATCCGCTTCCTCGACATACGCGTGCAGCCCATCCACGCAACCGATAGCTCCAAAAAAGACCTCTACCTCGTCCACGGCGCCTTCCCCATCAGCCTAACTGGCCCCAAGTACCTCGCCCCTATCCTCCAAACATGCTATGACTTCCTCGCCGCCCACCCCAGCGAAACCCTCCTTGTTAGCCTAAAAAGAGAAGGCGTAGGCAGCGCAACAGACGAACATCTCGCTGCCGTATTGGAAAAACACTACATAACCCCCAACTCGGCTCGCTGGTACACCGCAAACAAAACCCCCTACCTTGGTTCCGTGCGTGGAAAACTCATCCTACTCCGCCGCTACACCATCTCCTCACCCACTCCTAATACCAACGACGCCGCCGCTGCTGCTGCTGCTGCTGCTGCTGAAAAAGCCGGACTCGACGCAACAGCCTGGCCCCACAACTCAACGCACGCCGTCTTCCCCTCCCCCTCGCCAACAACAACCTCATTCTGCCTCCAAGACTACTGCGAAGTCCTCGTCCCCTCTTTGATCCCTGCAAAACTTCAACACTGCACCGAGCACCTCGCCCGCGCAGCCGCAGTCACGCACCCGATACCGGGGCTGACGACGGACCCAAAGCATCCTGTTCCGCCCGCCCCGTTGCATCTGAATTTTCTCAGCGCCAGCAATTTCTGGAAGCGGGCCTGTTGGCCGAGTGCCATTGCCAAGGTGGTGAATGAGGGCGTGGAGAGGCGTATGTGTGGGCGGTTTTATTTGCAGAGTCATGGTTCAGACCTGCAGCAAGAAGAGGACGAGGTGGTGGCGGGAGTGGTTAGAAGGAAGGCGGAAAGTGGGGACGGAAGTACAGGAGTAGTCATTATGGATTGTGTGGGTGAAAATGGGGATTGGGATTTGGTTCGGTTGGTGATTGGGATGAATATGGGTGTTTTACTTCGGTATTCTTCTGTAGTTTGAAATAATCCCCCCCNCCTTCCCCCCGTGAGTTAAGTTTTTTTTTTCGTTTTGTTTACAGAAGATGAAGATGGGATATAAAAAAACCACTAACCATCTTACACATATATATCCTTCTTCTACTTCGCACTACTATCTACCCCCAAAACTCTGCTTAACCTCCTTCATGCCCTCCTTAGCAATAGCCCCGACATCCACCACCTTCTCAGGCGTGCCAGCCCAAGCCTGGACCCCTTGCTGCTGCTGCTCGCCACCCACTACCAGCCTCTTGTCACGGAACCCCGTGGCCCTCAAATACCCTGCCGTCGCCATGCCGACGGCCATGCCGCCAAAATGACTGGCATGATCCATCGTCGTCTTCCTCCGCATCGCCGAATGAATCTCGAGCACCACAAACGCCACGAAAAGCATCTTTGGCCAAAACGCCACCTCCTGATCCTTGAGCAGGGGAATCTTAATCTTGTCCTGGTCAGTCAACAAGCAGTACAGCGCCGCGATACCCCAAATCGCCGCGGATGCGCCGACAGAATGCGCCGTGATGTTGCCTCTACCGAGATTGGCCCAGTACAAGGAAGCCAGCGTACCGAGCGCGCCCGCACTCATGTACGTGCCCATGAAGACGCCCCTGCCAACGAGATCGCAGCACACGGGGCCGACGAGACACAGCATCATCATGTTGGCGAGCAGATGCTCGTACTGGATGTGGCTGAAGACGTTGGCGATGCTCTGGATGGCGCGCGGGTAGCCGGGGACGTGCATGAAGTAGCGGGTCATCAACGGCCATAGGGGCATGATGCGCCAGCCTATTGCCACGACACAGTTTGTCACTACGAGGGCGCCAATCGTGGCGGTTGTCGGGGAGAGGTCCGGGAACAGGCGGTAGGAAGGCGAGGGGGGCGTGTAGTAGTATGCAAAGGCCCAGGAGAGAACGAGGGTGATGAGGACGAAGATGGTCATGGGCGTGAGGCGTTCGGACTGGGGTTTGTGTTGTTAGCAAGATTTTGGATGGGTATGGGGAGATGAGAGGGGAGGGAAGAAAGACGTACGAGAGTTGTTTGTGCCAGGAGTTCTTCAGGTGTCGTTGCGTCTGTTACTTGGGCTGCTTTGTTGTACTTTTCCATTTCCTCTTTGCGTCGGCTGACTTGCTCGCGGCCAAAGACGTCAATGTACGTTGTTTGACCGGGCTTCATGAGTTGGGTGCCGGTTGGTGTGCGCACCCATTCTCCACTTGCGAGTTTCTCTTCCATCTCCCTCTCCTTCTGCTCCTTCTCCTCTGCTTTGCGCGCAATTTCTTCTAGACGTGCCCGCCGCTTTTCCTCGATGTTGAGCTCAAACTGACTCTTGCCCGCGTGGAGAATGCCAATTTTTTGGTTCTCGGCCTCCTGACGTATTCGTTCTTGCTCTTCCTTTTCCATTTGCTCGCGAAAGGCGCGCGCCGGGTCTTTGTATTTGGACTCGGTTTCGGGGTCAGCGAGCCATAGCTCGTAGGCTATGCGATTGGCCTCCTTCTCAGCCCATTCTTCTGCTGCTCGCGCTTCATCTATTGGATATTTCGCTCGCAGCCATTCTAGCCCTTTGAGCGCGGTTTCACGGCTCACGTGGGTATACTGCTTGCCCAGATTGTCTACGCCGTAGTCGGCCAGGGAGCCTGCGGTGCGCCGGTGGTGCAATATGCGCAGGACATTATTGCCGTCTTGTGGTGATAGCTTGCGGCCGAATATGCGGTGTATGGTTGCTTCGCTGACTGGTCCTTCAGGCAGTGGTCCTATGCGTACGGTGCGCTTGCGAGATTGTGGGATGGCGGGGTTCTGTGGTGTATCGATGACTCTGGCGCGGTAATGCGAGGTACAGACAAAGAAGCGACATTGTGATCGTGATGCCCGGTGTCGCTGGACAAGAGCCAGTAGCGGAGATGTTGATGTCTGTCGAGGGTGAGGTTGTGTAGTACAGAGGCGGCGCGCGAGCGAGGCGCACGTCGGGCGGAGAAGAGACATGGCGAAATTTGCGCCTGTCCAGCCCCAGGCGTTTGCTATACCGAGGAAAAAAGGGCTCAAATTGCAAGCCTATGCTTCTCTATAGTTCTCTAGTGTCTGCCAATGCGCTGGGGCGGCCATTGCATGGTGAGTAGGCTGCGAGCGATGGCACACTCGGTGAATGCATCATACATCGTCCTCCACAAAATGTTGCCATGTCCGAGTCTGTGCTCAGCCCTACAACATCACCATGCATCGTCAGACATAATAGATACACATTTCGCTTCTTCCTCCATCGCCCTTAGCTTTCAAAGACGCTGCATGTTGCATTCATTTTTCTTAATCATCATGACATATACATTGCTCCTCTGCTGGTTCTCCCCAATGAACCCATTACACTATCAGCCTACACATACGCGAACACATACTCGCCCTTCTCCAACTTATCCGCAATATCTTTGATAGGCGACACATACTCTGTGCTCAACTGTATCAGCTCCTTGTTCATAAGTAGTGCCATCAGATTGCCAAAGACAATGCTTCCTCCATTGTTGAGATGGGTATTGTCCGAAGGCGCCAGGTTGTATGTATGCGCTTTGTCAGGCCCAATGGCATTTAGGTACTTTGTGCTTGCTGCATTGAGATCGATAACTTGCGCACCAGTCTGACTTGCCACCTTTATTGTTGCAGCCGCCATAGCCGCCAGGTCCTCCTTGACGCGGCCGTCCGAGTCGAAGTTGCGTCTGCTGAGCGGAGTCACCAAGACAGGCCACGCCTCTATATCCAGCAAGTCGTGAACAAACCTGGCAAGGTTGGCTGAGTACTGTTCAATCGAGATGTTGTTGGCCGGTTTCTGGTCGTTATGTCCAAACTGACATGTCACGTATACCTCGAAGTCGTTGCTCGCAGCTTTTGCAGTGGCGAGAACATTGGCCCAGTCCCCCCCCTCGCGGAACGACACCGTTGTCGCGCCGTTGTGGCCAAAATTCTTTGCCGCCGCCCCGGCGTGCAGAGTCGTGTTGATGAAGCCGGCGCCCCAGCCACCTCCGTTTTCCGACTGCGGCGCCGTGGTTGAGTCGCCGGCTAGAGCAAAGAACGGCGGTTTAGGCACTGTTTCTGGGGGAGTTACAATGGCCCTGGCTGTGACCGACGAAGCAAAAAGCCCAAGGTACGACAATGTTGAATGAAAATGCATTTTGGCTTGCTTCAATCTTCCGAATCCAAGCGAAGATTTATACAGAGAAGGCTTGGTTAGTGCTCTCTCGATGATACGGAAATCTTACACCTTTTATGCATGTACGCGCCTCGGGCCTACTACTCCAACCATCTCGAGCAGCGACTATTATTAGTGACGCACCCCATACTCTATCAATTGACTCCTGGTACAAACGACCGGTCTAGGTTGATTTAAGCTCAAAACAAATGTTTAGGTTCATCTTAAATTGCGCTTTTCCACCAATCGGTTTAATAGCTGACGGCATCGCTCAGGACGCTCCGTGCCATTCACTGTCGTCCAATTTACCATCTCGCTCAGCAATGACATGTTGGGAGGTATTCTTGAACACGCAATTGTGAGAGTACATGGGGTCATTTATCTGACTACCATACGTCCCATTGCGCTTGAGGGGTGACTGGCAACATCATAGTCATGTCAGACTGTGGTCTGACTGTAATGTTATGCTCATGCTCCTGCATCTCCCTTGTCTTGACCAATCACCGCATCCCCATTCACGTTGTTTTCCTTCTTCATCCTAACAAACTCTTTCTTCATACTTTCAAACTCTTTGAATCCCTGGAAATACTTTCGGCGAAAATCGTTCAACTCACTCGCCCTTGTGCCCTTTTCGTATTCTTTCTTGACAGCCTCCAACGTGCCCTCTGGCATTTCTGATTCACGGCGCCGCCGGTAGGTAAGCAGCCGACGCGACCATTTATTGAAAGCTTGCACGCACACCGCTGTCAGCTCCAAGCCGGGATGCGAAGGTATTATAAGCTCGATGTCTTCGTCATTGGCAGTCGGCATCCACATGCTGAGTCGCCCGTCTTCCACGAGTGTTGCAACGGCAAACTCAAGTATATCGTCGAGCAACGCAGTAAAGGAGTATGGTCGCTTGGGTGGAATATACCCCGGTTCCTTGAACTGGTCTTGATGTGACTTCCGCTCTTTTTCGAGAAGCTCCTGGCGAGACCCGAGTACCTTGAGGCCTTCGCGGATCCCGTAGGGCGGATCGCATACGATACCGTCGAGATAGCCTTTGCTGTTTTGACTGCCAGTTGGCAGAATCCTCAGTGGTGTATTTGTGAGATCCGACACAAAAGCACCTAGATATCTCGATTCGATACCGTACTGTTTGAAGTTGCCAACTACATCGTACTTTCCCGTTTGCCCTCTTCGAGCACTTCCCCCCGTACCCCGGATAGTGCGACCGTCGATGTCACTTCCAAACACCACAGCGCCAAAATGCGCGCATGCAATTGGAAAGCCGCCGGTACCCATGAACGGGTCGTAGAAGACCTTGCCAGGCCCCACATGTGCGATATTCGCCGTGACGAGCGTCAGTTCGGCATCCATAGACGTAGTGCTGATATAGTGCCTTTTTTTGAGATCAAAAGTCTTCTTCGCCTCATTACGGCATGAGTCCGCGATGAAGCGACCAAAGTAGAGGTACTTTGGTTGTTTGGCATCTAGTTCATAGTCTTCAAATACCCGGAACGCCACGTCTGGGTCGCGCATTCGTGGAGGTCCCTTGAAAGCCATGTACGAGAAACTGTCGATGATTTCACGCTGCTCGTCGGTTGATCTGCCCCCACGATAGCCTTCTATGGTGAAGCGGAATGAAGACGTCTCATACTGGGACCATTTCCTTGCAGTTAGACTGCGGACGGACTCGTGGAGAGCATTGTACTCTGTACCCTCGCCCCATAGCTCATATATGCCTTGAGAGAGAATGCTGCGGGCGATGAGTTTTCTTGCTGCTGTATCTGATGCTAGTTCCACAATACAGTATGGAGACTTGAAATGTTAGGATGTGGGTTTTTTTAAGACAGTAAAAGGATCCTTCAGGGTACCAGAATAGATACGCACAAAGATGAAATTTGTACATACTCGATCGAGCACAAAATAGACCCAAAGGTTTTAACATGAACTGGGAGAGATAAAAACACACTCACATCTTTCTGATACTTGACAAACTGCAGTACTATGCCTGCAACATCCGCCAAGGCCTGCAACTCGACTCTGCGGAAACTTTCGTGTGTCTGCGCCAGCCGAACCAGGTACTGCGGCATGATCGCTTGTAGCCTTCCCCCCAAAAAGTGAAAATAAGAAAAAAAAGTTAGAAGCTGGATTACCCACAACTCTCACAGAACGGTACCTCAGAAAAAGCTTTCTGAACAAGGCATCAACTCCACAGACCGGGTGATCTTCCAAACCGTTGCTTTTGTCGTTGCCGTGGTGGCCGTGTCAAAATGTAGAGGGGTCACGAGTCCGTCTATCGCGCGCTAGCAGATTGGAGTAAGGGTCTGTTTAGTCATCCGCTTTTTGTTCACGTATCATTTTAAGGTTCTGACTGACTAGTTATATCTAAAATACACTTCAGAAATAACGGCTATTCAAGAAATTCGCTGGTAACCTCAACGAGATACCATAAAATCTTGAATAAATCACAGAGGAAATGCATGCGGGTCAACTCTTTCAAAAATAATCAAGCCTCTTTCCTTCTTCACTATCAGCCCACAAAAGCACACGCAAAGCGTAGTGGCCGACAGAGATACGACTGAAGAATCCTTCAAAAGATACTTCGCCAATGGCTTGGACATGTTACTAGCAAGAATGCGGGCAGTGGACATGAATTTTTTGAAGGGTCCTACGTACCTGCGTTAAATTTATTATGCAAAACATAAGACTGATAAATCACTCGCAAAACTTTTTCAATAGGAGAACACACTATATTGTGGCCTTCACATCTGACGGAGCACTTGCAGGCTCTGCTCGAATTCTTTCTCAGTGGCCCAAGCACAATCAGGTATTCTACATAGCATCATTTTCAGATTGTTATCGCCCTTGATCCCCCTTAGTCTCCCCTATCTTAGCTTTAGAGCCTAATACTTCTCATCGTTGGGTCACTTGTTGCTGGGCTTATTCTCTGACGTTGTTTTGAACTTGTATCTTGTTTCATCAGACATGGCAACGAACCGCAGTAGCAAGGCCTGTTATAACCGACCATGCAACGATCAAGGATCCTGGTTCAATTTGGCGTGAGCTACATGATCCACCTTGTACGAGCGCTTCTGTCAGGGAGGGCTCCTAGCGGAGCCGAGCACGCAGCTACACGCGCCTACCACGTAGCCAAAAGGCA